TGGGGTTAAACTGATGACCTAATTACTGGACCAGCTATATACCAACGTAGCTACTATATGCTGGTTTAGCATTTCAGCTACAGATACGTGATTGTGTTCAATAAAGGTATGCATATTACAATACATTATGGAATTTAACTTATTTTAATAATCTTACAACCAGTAAATATGGCATGGTAAAATACCCCTAATGGTAGAATTGTGTTGTCAAAGGAATATTTTAACCAAATATTTACCTTTATTTTCTAAATGTCAACTATACTCCGCGCCAAAGCTGGTGGCGGCTGAGGGATTAGGACGGCCAGGTCGGTGAGCATGTCCGACCTATGTAGTCCTACCTGGCGGTCCTAATCCCTCAGCCGCCACCAGCTTTGGCGCGGAATATAGTCATGTTTAGTCATTGTCATCATTTTCATTTCATTGTATAAAACGTGTGTAGTCATATTTCAATTAGTGTAGCAGGTGTATTCTACTGATTTGGGTTCTTTACCTGGATTTTCCAAATTATTCTCGTTGAAGGGCATTTCTTCATCACTACTCATACTTACTTATACAAGTATTATAATATACTGTGTACAACAACTTGTATAGTTTTGGTATATCATGTGGTCAAAAAACATTTAAAATGCATTATAGCTTTTCATTGGGGTCTGTCTTGTGGTAAAACATTTTATTATTTTCATCATTTTAGGCCTTACGGTTTTTCTGAAACTAATACTGGACTCCTTGCGAGACTTAGCCAGTATGTTTGTCTATAATTGTAATAACTCATGGAATTACAATTTATTTCAAACAATAATATTGTATTGACTTTTTTGTAGCTACAGTATTGATTATATTTATAATTTCCATACATTATTTTTCCAACATTAAACGAAGCTTACAAGAACCTAATTTACGTGTTGACTACATTACGTTGTTATATTATGCATACTATACTTTTGAAGGTTAAAAAAAAATTAAAAAATATTATCTACATGTTGTTTTGGAATGTATATCATCCTAGAAAAAAATCATTATCCTAAACCGTTTCTCTACATTCAGAACAGTCGAATTTGGGAAATTGCGTAGATTTAGAGTTTTTTATATCAATGTATTCAATATATTTGTTGGTCAATTTGTGATAAAGATCAGGAACCTCACTCTGAGGGTGTTTAGTATTCGGTTGCTGGTTTTCAGGGTTGAAGCCAGGGGAGTATATATCTGAATATTTAACATTTCCAAGTAATATTCAATGCACTAGTGTTGGGGTTTGCTTGGTTGTTTTGCTGCGTTTTCTTCACAAATGACTTGTAAAGTTAAGAAACGTTTCAACCTCTTGAATTGTATTCATTTCACTTTTACTTTTTGTTGTAATTGATATTTGAATGATTTGTCATTCAACTTATGAGTCATCAGGTTATAAAACAATCCCAGTTTAGTGATAGAACCGGCAGACCTTCCACTTAACTTGAGCCTTTACTCAACTGAACCCAAGGTAAACACCAAAACCAACAAACTGTGTTCTTCGGTTGAACAACATTCACAATAATAAATAACTTCCTGATTAGAATTATACGTACTATAAATGTTACATGAATATAGCAAATTAAATACGTCTTCCCACATTATTCGATATACCTACACTTTTACTTTGTACATTGACAAAAGTTTATTAAAAAAAATACCAATGGCAAATGTTTAACTCCAATATAAAATGTTAAGAGAGTAGAGCTGGTCTAGTGGTTAGAACACTGGACTTCGATCCCTGTGGCCCCAGGATCAAATGACACCAATTGGTATTATCTAAGTGATAATTCCGTAACTCCTAGATCTAGCCTAAAATAACGTGAAAAACTATCTCAGGCCCCTTCCTAGTACCCTAGAACAAAACTTTACCTTTTTTATATGTACTTACCACCTTGTAAATATTTTCAGTAAAAGTGTAAGGATATCAAGTAGTTTTGGAAAACCAAATATTATATTTTCTTATTTTACTTTCGTAATAATGTTAGACTATTGCAATATGCCTTTTTAGTGTTTTAAATTTATTTTTCTTATATTTCTCATCTTCAAAAACACAAGATGTTTACAACAGTAACAAACTACAATGGTACTTTATACCAAAACACAAAGCAGTCATGGCTGTGTCATCTGTTGCTAAGACAGGAGGATATGTCATGTGTCTTACTTACTGTTGATAAGGACTTACGTTTCCCATGACGAAGTAAGAAAACATATCACCATACAAGCTTTTGTTTGTTTCTTTGAGAAAAAACCTTTGTGTATTAGAACTTTTCTAACATTATGCTAAGTGCAGTTACCACACGTTAACGTCATAATAAACTTGTATTAAATGTATAAATATCATGCTAAATTAAATGAACAAAGTCATTTTGCATTAAAGAGACGACTGTAATTATACAGATTTCATATTTAATTTAGTGAACAACTAGAATTGGATTAATTAAACTATTATTTGTTATAAATACACGTACAAATTTGTGCTAGTTTGTGTTATTACCGTACGGGAACTTCTAACGATGCTTATACAACCCTTCTCTCCGCAATAAGTATGATATAAAAGGTATGATTAGTTACAGTACCATCTAAATTCATTTAATTGTATTGTCTTGACACTTATAATTATGAATAATTAGTTTTAAGATCCCACAAAAATGGATAGCTTCTTTTTGGTAACGTCAACTCAATTTTTAAACCGTCTTAAAAATGTATCAATGTTGAAAATATATCTCTAAGGTTGATTAAATTGCCTAGTTTTTAAGTAAAAGCTGTGTATGAAACTTTGATTAGTATAATTGCAACAGTAAACGAATTTATAACTTCTAAAGAAACACAGCTACTTTTCAAATATCTTGATATCAATATATGCAATAATTATTCTAAAAGTACAAATAAGTTGTATAGTTATTGATTATAACAAAACTCTAGTTAATCTCTACAAACATAACAATCGATATTTCACATTTCACAGCCCTTTTCAAAGTAGCATTTATCTAGGTGACTTACAACGTGACTTACACTTCGTTTTGATTTATATCCAAGTTATTCTTTTAAATTTCAGATTAGATTATTCGTTAAAACAAATATTTCCGTTTTCATTAAATTTGTATTTTTGTTTGGTAAAATATAATAATTTAGCAAGTGAAATAATAATAATAATAATTTAGCGTGTTTTTTCCCTTTTATTTTGGCTTACCTTTTTATCTGTTTATATTGCTTGATCTATTTGATTTAGTATTGATTTTGAAGAACAAGAGACATAAAATATTACGGTTATTTTACGTACTCGGTGAAATGTAATCCAAACTTATCTGTATGTTTCCCATTTTACAATGGATTGTAGAAAAACTCAAAAAAATTAAACAAAAGAAATTTTGATTATTTAAAAACACATACAAAGTTTGTAATAAAGCCTTAAATGAAGGAATTGTGAAAGCAAAATCTAGGTTTACATTGTTTTGTAGAAATAAACCTTTATATCTCCGAGAGGTGGTAAGTGCTAGGCCTTCGGCCAAATGTAAGTGTTAAGCCCCAGGCAGTTTTAGACAATACCTCGTTTACTAAAATAACACTTTTCACAATAGCTACCTAGTAGAGTGTTTATACTTCTGTTAACAATTCCTTTACAGTGTCGTTTAGGATTTTATTCTGCGACCTAAACCGTTTTACAAATATTTTATATTCACAATATAATAGGTAATTAAAATACGAGCACTTTACCTACGAAGAAATTATTATATAAGTGTTAAAACTGGGAGCTTTTACAACATTTGAATTTGAACAAAGTCATCAAACTCGTTTTGATAAAAAAAAGAATCACAACACAAACTATAACCAACGCTTGAGACTGTAATAATGATTGTGTTGAACTACATATATCGTTAACATATGTGAAGAGGTATTCATATAGTATTTTCAACTCACAGATACAAATATTTACTATAGTAAGTAGGCTATGTAGTTACATACTGTCAAGGTTTCGTTTAAAACAAAAGAATAAGTATGTTTGGCTCAGATATTTCAGCTTAATTTGTTAACAAAATTTCGAAAAACATTTAAATAAATAAATTAATTGGTAGTTTAGTTTGATTGGCTAAGTTATTATTTGGTTTTATTTTATAACAAGTGACTTTAATGATTGATTTCATGTCACTTCCACTATAACTAATTTACGTTATTTCGAAAAGTTATGATTTGACAGCGTGATATTCATGTACAGTTAATTACAGGGCTGAATATAGCGTGCCACCGACCCGTGGCTTATAATTTACAACTTTGGATTTTTATCTGCTTCAATCTCACAATGTTAGAGGGGTGACCACGGAAAGATCGATATTTTAGTCAAAAATTTTAGTATACAAAGATGTTTTTAACACATTACTAGGCAAATGAATAATAAACCAACAATGACAAAATTAATTTATTATTCATAACAGATAAACCATCCAATTACGCAGTAAAGCTAAAGAAAGATACAGAGGCTTTGCAGAAGCATTTACACATCATCTAAAGTGAGGCCGATTATTTTGCTTAATATGTTATCCGACATCTTAAAAGTAACAAATTGTATAATTATGTGTATAATACATAAAAGAATGTGCTTTTTAAAGTAACTTATCGACATAGTAACGGACAAAAATCGCTATACCTTTAATAATTAAAGGCATTTTTCCACACTAAGGTATTTGTTAAAATATCTATAGGCTAAAAGGATTACTTTATTGGAAGAAACATTTTTTAACTGTTTTACACCTCAATTATCATTTGTTGAATATGATTTCCTTCTATTTATTTTCATCAATTTTTGACACAGTTTAGTGTCAATAATTTAGTAGTTACAAGTGTCATAGCATGTATAATTGTAGCGTCGAAGGAATTATTATATACCTTATTTTAGACCTTATTATATTTTTACGCTAAATGATTTCACTTTATCAATAACATTACATTTAATAAAATTTGACAAGTAATAGCTACATTAAGGCCTATGTATGAATTATAAAAGTTCATTATGCCCAACGAAATGTTAATTTGTTATATAGGTAATGCTGGCAGTTTTACCAGACGTATAATAAACAATTAGAAAACACAGAAGTACTGAAATTATTTGAGTTTAATATAGATTTTGGATACACAGTATTTTTATTTAGACTATTTATTCAATAATTTCCCCCCATTCATTGATTATTTAAATATTTAATGATTATTACAATTTTTAATATTCATGCCATAAATATTCAATGATTGAATTTATACTTTTTTCAATGCAGTTAGTTGCAGCCTACTTGGTTTTTAATATTAGATATTTTGTCCCTTAATAATAGTAGGATTGTAATACTTACTGACAGTAAATTTAACGGACTTTGGAGATTAGTTTGGGGACATTAAAATGAACATATTGAATCCGAACGTCTTAAATATTTTACAAAGCTTTGTATGAACTTAAAATGCTTTATGTTTTAAAATGTTACTGTACCTCCTACTAAATAATGTTTTTTAAAGTATAGCAATAGTGGGCTGCTTAGTACTTTCAATGAAATTTGTCATTGTACAAAAAAAAATATTTATATACAAGATCATTGACTCAATAAACCACTTATAAATCTACTCTAACTAAGCTAAGAGCAAGTACATATTTATATATTTTACAGTTATTATTTACAGCTTTATTAAGTCTTTAAGATTCGCCATTGTAAAATGTTAACCAGTTAAATAGATCGATAGCTTTTGCATATTTTAGCTGAAACCAATCATTACTTATTTAGTACAAGGGAACCAATTTACATAAGCTACGTAACAAGTTCTAATCACGTGACCAGTAGAAAGAATGACGTCACCATGAGCAGAAATGTCACACTCGACCTTGTAGTGCTGGAGACTCCTTTCACTAAAACATAAAGTGTCATTAAGAATAATACTATATAGGTAAACAAATAGTTCATCAAAGCTGTATGGAGATACCTAATAAATTATGTTTTATGTAAATTATGATTTGTTTTAAAGCAAAGATCTTTCCTTTTTTTCCGTGTCCGGAAATCAGACTTCGCTTTTCCAAAAATTAGCTACCGGCTTTGTCATTCGCATGTAAAATATCATCTAATGTGCAAGACTGGTCTAGGCGTAGGGCAGTCTTGCACATTAGATGATCTTTTACATACGATTGACAAAGCCATATCGGAGCAAAGCCATATGACAAATCAAAGATACAGGGATAGTATAATTTAATACTACTACTATTGAGGTAAATACTAATACCTATTAGTATTTTGTTAAAGTTACAATATATTAGTTTTAGAAATTGTAAGCGCTAATGCGTTGTCAATATCATTGAAAGTTTCTGAGTTTACGACCCTACACACAAAATAATTTCTTATGGGTTTAATTCGACTCTAAGAATTAGTTTTAGGAGTCCTTGGAGCCTAGATTTTTTAAACTCGTAAAACATTTAAGAAACTACAAAGACAATTTATAAACCCAGAGTGCCCTAGCTATTTATATCACAATGACTTTTGTATTTAAAAAATATGTTGAGATAATAAATAACTCTTCAGCAGATGTTTGAAGTTAACAAAACTAATATTGTTCTTTAGGTAGGCAAATCCAAGATAAATTTAGCCCCCATGGACTCCCATAAACTACAAAGAAAATGTTTAACCACATACTGCCCTAGATATTCAAATTGCAATCACTTTGGTGGTACTACAAAATATTTTGGGGTGATAAAGAGCTCTTAGAAGCCGTTTTAAATGATTCCAAGAAAGCCGCTAGCCTACAAGGACTCTATACTAGATTGTCAAATAACTTGTAGCAACTGATTTCATTTGAAATAGTTTGTAATTTACGCAACCTTATTGATTAGGTTATTTAAATACTATATACAACATGACACACAGTGTAACACATTTTAACTATCGTAAGGCAAGCTTTTTTTGTTTTGAATAGTAACAAACAACAAATGCATAAGGCAAAAACGTTAAAATTGTTGGTGTTCAAGCAATTGAATTATGAAGACCAATTAATACTAGGTCAAAAGACTAACTTAACTCAAAACCTACCGAAAAACAGAGCCTCCCTGTTGTAGTCCAGAGCTGGCGGAGGCCCGGAGGCGGATAGACGCTGATGTTGTAGCACGGGGGCGGGTGCCGGGACCGTGGGGGTGGCGGTGGAGGTGGAGATGGTCGCTACACATCTGACCTGGAGGCGGCCCTTGTGGAAGTGTTCAGGTCCCACCTGGAACCTCAGACCTGCGGTGGAAGTCATCAGCCCGTGCTGCTGCACCACCGCCTCGTAGTCTGGCCCCACCTGAGGACATCGGATGACAAGCTTAACACGTAAGTAATAGAAGGACAGAATAATATTTGGGTAATATTTAAGTTCAAATTTCCGACTCAAATAGGTTCAATCTTTTATAGGCTAACTCTATCAAGAATTCTTTCTTTGTTTAAGAGTGTATTGTGGTAAATGGGAGGATTTAATTTGGAAACTTCACCGTTTGGATCTACTAATTACAATGTTAAACTCAATGGATCATGTTTTGATGAAAGGTTTCTTGGGCTTTTATTATATTTTATCCCAAACGTGCGGTTAAGAGGGTTGACACAACTTTATAACGCTGCCGTTATGTAACATCAGAACATTTTATCAGTACTTTATTTCTGAAATATATGAAAAATATCCAAGTGTAAAGCCAATTTCTCAATTCACATAGTATTTTTTATAATATATTTTAAAACTTGTGGTTGTGATTCTGCATTATTATCTAAGTCTAAAAAATTACGAAGTTTTTTATTAGCTAAAGAATTGCAGTAAAACATAATTTCATTATTAAATATACTGAAAATGTACAACATTTGGTCTTTAAATCTATTGTACAACATTAAATGTTTGGCCTATGCTTGATTTATACCGTAAGTCCTTTACGGTAAATACATGGACAATATATTTTATATACAAGATACTAAAGCTAAATCTCCAACACAAATCTCCAACGTGGTGTCCTATATTTATTCTACAAACTATCTCCAGGCTAAGCAAACTCTAACGAATAATTTGTTAACTAAATCCTCTGAAAATTTTAAGTAATAATTACCCAAATTTGCAGTGTGGAAGATATAATTTCTCATACAAATCCAACTCAACTTTTGTCCGAAACCAAAGCTGTTATGAGGCGTATACTAAGCGTACTATTTTCCTTATTAGGATTTAGCAACCGTTCAAAGTGTTTGGTGTACATATAGATTTTTCTGTTTATATTTAATAACATTGTTACTGTTTATAAAAATATCATAATTTCGGATATTAAATAATGGCTCTTAAGTAAAAAAGAAATTACAAAATGTTAGTAAAAGTAAACCCATTTAGTTTGACAAAACGTGTGCGAGAAAATTTTTATTTACAATTTTTATAAGAAAATAAAGTTGTTTTTTCATACCTTGGAAATAATGATTACTGGTGGGTATACTAAGAGTGTGGTGAGTAAAAAAGCGCAGAAATAATGTTATTTTGATACAAAAACACTTGTTTAAAACAAAAACCAAATAGTTAAGAGCTAACCACTCACCAGCTCGTCATTGACATACCAGCGCAGTCTAGCGGGAGGAAATGACTTGGCAGAAGTACAGTTGAGGTTGATCTCGTCTCCGATTTGATAGTTGCGCTCTTCTCCTGTGATCTCAGGACCGTCCTGGGGCAGAGCTGTGGGAAATACAGTAAATATATGAAATAGATACAGCTTAGGAACAAAACAAGTCAATGTTATTGCATTAACAATTTTTTTAAATTAGTAAATTTGAAAGAGTTTAGAAGTTTCTGAAGTGATTATAAAGTTAGGACAATGTACTTGTCAAACCTTTTTTGACTAGACAATGTGTACAGAACATTGTTCAAGTTGCAGAACTAAGAAACAATGGCCAATCAAAAATAGGAAAAATTATCTCTAAGACATTATACTTAAATTCAATCTACATTTCGGAATATACTACCTTTAATATAATGGTAAGGCTGTAAATCATCCCAGAATCCAATTCACACAATGAGATATATTATTTGAGATTATTGACAAAACTAAAACCTAAGAACGCGTAGAAATATGGAACCTGTTTGCTGTTGTTGGAAATGTAAATGTCTATCAATCAAGTGGTTCAATGATAATTGGCCAAAAAAGGATTTTTTTTTGTAAATTAAAGATGTGTGGGTGTGTATATAAAACTACGAGGAACTTCTAAAATATCTATAAATAATGCTAATAAGGATCAAAAACGTTTGAGAAAACCGCAAGCCGCACATCCATCAACCACATACTTTAACACATACGAAAAATATAATTCAATATTTAATTCTAGTTAATTCTACACAAAAATCAATAAACATGGTATTTTATATAAATCCTCACCTAAAGGCACAAACTTCAATTGAAGGCCTGCAATTGATCATAATTAAAATACTGAAGATGAATCAGCTCTTAGATTTGTTTTTATTTATAGATTCATTGATTACTTTTCCCCGACTTAATCTTTCGATTCTCATAATAGATGTTTTAAATAATATATAATAGAAAATATTAGTTTCGATCGTTAATGCTTAATGCAAATACACAAGAAATTTGTATAAAGATTAGCAATTAGTATGATTGAGATTCGCCTGTATAAAGTTCATGTTAAATGTGTGTTAAATAATTTTGCTTAAAATACATTTATAGACCCAAGTTATTTTCTTATGTATCCTTGCCAGGTATCAAAGCACGCGCACATCAATTATACTATGTTATCCTAAACACCTCTAGCTTCTGTTGGACAAACATAATCACGTGTCGTCATGTTGAGGCAAAGTGTTTAGGGGAAGTGTTTCATCAGCGTAACACATGTTCCTCATGTCAGTTTGCATATCATGCATACATGCATGCACAGTTGAGCGTGTTCTCAGTAGGTAATTAAATCCGTTTGCATGTTTTACTTATTCCAACACTAACTTAAAACAGCAAGATTGTGTTCGATACTGAACGAACTGACATTGTATAGACATTTCTTGTAAAAGTGATTTAATACCCACCCCAGCACAGTATATATAAAAAAAATTCAAAGGGAAAATAATAATTAACGGATAAATAATCTTCCTCCATGGAGCGTTTTTGGAGGAAATTAATTCCAGTAAAGGGTCAAAGTTGTTTTGCTCATTTTATTCAAATTTGTTGTTGTAATTTAATGATTTAGAGAATAAATTAGGTAGTAATAGTTAACATTATGTTAATACACTTAAAATATAGTTCCAAGCCGAAAACAACTAAGATTCGCCAACTAAGCCTCTAGGTAATGCTATTTGAAAAGAGTTAAGCTAATGATACAATGAAAGATCAGATGTTTCATCGGTAGCAATAATGAGGAATATACATAATTGGTTAGTATTATGTATTACAATTGCCCCTATAAATTACCATTTAATAGTCCAAGCAGTAAGTGAAATAAGTATTGTACTGTATACGTAAAAACTGCATCATTATAGTGTTTATTATTATTATTATTCAAACAAATACAAAACAATTCCCACTTACCTACTACATTCATCCTGGACTCGCCATGCACAGAGGAGAAAGCTGGGGCTTCTGCAGACACTTCACATCTGTACATACCACTGGACCTCAGGGGCACGTTCCTTATCACTACCTTCTGGGCATCCGACTTGTGGTGCTGTAATGGAAGAGTTCTTAAATACATGCACAAAATTGAAATACAACATTATGCATAACATGTTTAGGCTTGTAATGTGGAATAAAAGATTACTAGAAACAATTTCTTATTTTATGCGGAGGTAATTCCTTGTATTCGTAGATGAGATGAATTTATGTTTTTTTTAAGTTCACTTTCATATTGGTAGGTTTTATTTTAATATGCAACTAAAAAAAAAAAAAATTGATCTTAAAATAACACAGAAAAAGATAAAACTAGATTTTAATTACATTTGCCCTCTCTAACAGCAAGACAGTTATTTAACATACGATATATATTTTATTTTATGGCCACCCGTTGAACCTAATTTGCAAAGCTCAAAAAAACCATTCGAGAAAGATAAAAACCCGTAATCAGACAAATAGGACTGACAAAATAAACCAAAACGACGACTTAATTCTTGTAAAAGCCTCAAATCCCTGTAAAATTATTATTAGTATTATAAAACGTAATGTGTTAAACTGTTTATGTTATTCCAGATTCATAAATTTGAATTATATCCCCAAGACCCCCCCCCCCCCCCTAGAGATTCCACACAAGATGGCAAAATGTACATAGAGTGAGTACGAACATTCATTTCAAGAACAAATCAGTCAGAAAAGGTTATTTTGTTAAATGTTAGTATACTCTTAACAGAATCTCCTTAACTCGTCATTATTTCAAAACCATTTTTGTTGTTAGTTTCTAATCTGTTAAAAATGCCAAATAAATATATTTCCCTACAATGCATTGTACGAGTTTAAAACTTCCCTGCCACAGTATCTATTACTTACATCGACATTTATTCCGTCTATATAGTACGTGTGTTGGGGAGGATTGCCTCTCGGAACGTATCTGTAGAACTCATCATGGTCCTTGTACCAGGACACAGAGTATAGTCTGTCTCCTTGAAGATCAAACTCACAGAGCAACTCCACAGGGTCTCCTCTCAGAGTGTACTGTGGCACCGACACTCGGACCATCTTGAGACTTATACCTCCTGTAACATTGAACGTATCTGTAGAACTCATCATGGTCCTTGTACCAGGACACAGAGTATAGTCTGTCTCCTTGAAGATCAAACTCACAGAGCAACTCCACAGGGTCTTCTCTCAGAGTGTACTGCGGCACCGACACTCGCACCATCTTGAGACTTATACCTCCTGTAACATTGAACGTATCTGTAGAACTCATCATGGTCCTTGTACCAAGACACAGAGTATAGTCTGTCTCCTTGAAGATCAAACTCACAGAGCAACTCCACAGGGTCTCCTCTCAGAGTGTACTGTGGCACTGACACTCGCACCATCTTGAGACTTATACCTCCTGTAACATTGAACGTATCTGTAGAACTCATCATGGTCCTTGTACCAGGACACAGAGTATAGTCTGTCTAATTGAAGATCAAACTCACAGAGCAACTCCACAGGGTCTCCTCTCAGAGTGTACTGTGGCACTGACACTCGCACCATCTTGAGACTTATACCTCCTGTAACATTGAACGTATCTGTAGAACTCATCATGGTCCTTGTACCAGGACACAGAGTATAGTCTGTCTCCTTGAAGATCAAACTCACAGAGCAACTCCACAGGGTCTCCTCTCAGAGTGTACTGTGGCACTGACACTCGCACCATCTTGAGACTTATACCTCCTGTAACATTGAACGTATCTGTAGAACTCATCATGGTCCTTGTACCAGGACACAGAGTATAGTCTGTCTCCTTGAAGATCAAACTCACAGAGCAACTCCACAGGGTCTCCTCTCAGAGTGTACTGTGGCACTGACACTCGCACCATCTTGAGACTTATACCTCCTGTAACATTGAACGTATCTGTAGAACTCATCATGGTCCTTGTACCAGGACACAGAGTATAGTCTGTCTCCTTGAAGATCAAACTCACAGAGCAACTCCACAGGGTCTCCTCTTAGGGTGTACTGCGGCACTGACACTCGCACCATCTTGAGACTTATACCTCCTGTAACATTGAACGTATCTGTAGAACTCATCATGGTCCTTGTACCAGGACACAGAGTATAGTCTGTCTCCTTGAAGATCAAACTCACAGAGCAACTCCACAGGGTCTCCTCTCAGAGTGTACTGTGGCACCGACACTCGGACCATCTTGAGACTTATACCTCCTGTAACATTGAACGTATCTGTAGAACTCATCATGGTCCTTGTACCAGGACACAGAGTATAGTCTGTCTCCTTGAAGATCAAACTCACAGAGCAACTCCACAGGATCTCCTCTCAGAGTGTACTGCGGCACTGACACTCGTACCATCTTGAGACTTATACCTCCTGTAACATTGAACGTATCTGTAGAACTCATCATGGTCCTTGTACCAAGACACAGAGTATAGTCTGTCTCCTTGAAGATCAAACTCACAGAGCAACTCCACTGGGTCTCCTCTCAGAGTGTACTGTGGCACCGACACTCGCACCATCTTGAGACTTATACCTCCTGTAACATTGAACGTATCTGTAGAACTCATCATGGTCCTTGTACCAGGACACAGAGTATAGTCTGTCTCCTTGAAGATCAAACTCACAGAGCAACTCCACAGGGTCTCCTCTCAGAGTGTACTGTGGCACTGACACTCGCACCATCTTGAGACTTATACCTCCTGTAACATTGAACGTATCTGTAGAACTCATCATGGTCCTTGTACCAGGACACAGAGTATAGTCTGTCTCCTTGAAGATCAAACTCACAGAGCAACTCCACAGGGTCTCCTCTCAGAGTGTACTGTGGCACCGACACTCGTACCATCTTGAGACCTATACCTCCTGTAACATTGAACGTATCTATAGAACTCATCATGGTCCTTGTACCAGGACACAGAGTATAGCCTGTCTCCTTGAAGATCAAACTCACAGAGCAACTCCACAGGGTCTCCTCTCAGAGTGTACTGCGGCACTGACACTCACACCATCTTGAGACTTATACCTCCTGTAACATTGAACGTATCTGTAGAACTCATCATGGTCCTTGTACCAGGACACAGAGTATAGTCTGTCTCCTTGAAGATCAAACTCACAGAGCAACTCCACAGGGTCTCCTCTCAGAGTGTACTGCGGCACCGACACTCGGACCATCTTGAGACTTATACCTCCTGTAACATTGAACGTATCTGTAGAACTCATCATGGTCCTTGTACCAGGACACAGAGTATAGTCTGTCTCCTTGAAGATCAAACTCACAGAGCAACTCCACAGGGTCTCCTCTCAGAGTGTACTGTGGCACTGACACTCGCACCATCTTGAGACTTATACCTCCTGTAACATTGAACGTATCTGTAGAACTCATCATGGTCCTTGTACCAGGACACAGAGTATAGTCTGTCTCCTTGAAGATCAAACTCACAGAGCAACTCCACAGGGTCTCCTCTCAGAGTGTACTGTGGCACTGACACTAACACCATCTTGAGACTTATACCTCCTGTAACATTGAAACATGGCAAAGTTGTTTGACCCTTTTCCATGAATCTATGAATATACGTTATTAGACCAAAAACTGCTGATTCCTAACTCGTATTTCATTCATGATTTGGTCAAAGTTTACCTTTCCAGCTTTATCATTTCACATTGAAATATGACTTATGACTACATATGTCATCGTATACAATATTACTGATGGTTTTATAAGCTTGAGACTCATAACTCCTGTGATATTCTCACTATTGCATTGTAATACACTCTTTGAATGAATCGCAGTGTGTATACTACCTTTTTACCAACACTTAAAAAAGGAATCGTTATATTTCCTGTAACATACAAATTGAAAATGGATTACTGTAAACACATACACTGTCATACACATATTGTTGCTACAATTATATATTTTAAAATTAGACCTATTTACTACTCTTTAATATTCTCTACAAGTAAAAGTCTGTTTCAGTTTACAATACGTTTTTATACCTCCAACACTTTGCGACTTATACTATTAGACATTGTATTCACACCTCGTTGAGAGAGTACTGAATGCTACGCAAACAGCAACACTTAAACTTAACTTACAGTCTAAACTAAAAGTACAGTATCTCGGAGTATTATTAATGAGCAGTGAATAAAATATATCGACGAATGACTTTTATTGAGGTGAGAAGACTGATGTTTTTAATTAGAACTATACTAGTATGTGAGCTAGACTTCATTGTCATTTTTATTAAGAATTGCACACACTTTAAGAAATAAAAAACTGTAGTAAGTCACTTAACTAAAATTCTTAAAACTAAATTATATTAGTCCCTATACTCAGGAATTTATGATGTGCAAAACCTAAGCTGTAATAAATCCAAAGATACATAACTTGTGTACAAAATTGTCAAATATCATTCATCCAATGCAACGTTAGACCAATCCAAGCTAACATCTGGATGATTAAAGTCAGAATTGTTTTGCCCGACCGACGCAGAAAGCACCGTAAAGTTTTTACGACGACAAACAAATGTAAAATTGACACCTCAACCCTCCAGAGCCACGGTAATATACGCGTCTTAAAATTGTGAATGCAAAATTAATCCCATCTTGTTTTCCGTAGTTACAAAACATGGCAATGAATTACAAAAACATTAATTAAACAACAGTTGCAATTAATTAATTAAATAGCTTCAATAATATTTACTTTAAACCTGTATATACACTAAATATTTCCTTCCTTCTCTATTCATCAACCACAATTATTAAAAACACATTTTCGTCCGTTTAAATACATATACTGTTTGTGAAGCTACCGAACTATAAACATGAAATACATTTTCTTATTTTCACCTTTTTCAGGGAAATAGGGCCACCAAAATTATTCATATGGTACCGTTATAGCAGTTAGTTCTATTTTTTGCTTAAAACGATTCTCTTTTACGAAATCATGGCAATACAAATCACGTTCCGATAATTCCTGATGGCCGAAGATTTCAGACAAAATGTCGAGCAGATACGTGTTGGTTTTACCAAATATTGGTGGAAACCTCTCCTACTCCTTGTATGCAATTCGTCAATGATGTTGAATGATTACAAACAGTTTTCACTTAACCAATTTTAACTACTGATTATGGTAATTGATTTATTTAACAGGTTAATGCTAAATATTAAAGTCGTGTTTTTATTTGATCAATTATATCAAGTTAGTTTTAGACCATTAAAGGTCAAATTATGAAAATAATTTGCTCAAAGTAAAGAATCACGTGTACAGAGTAATCTATGCTTCTCAGCTAACGTGTCAGAGACCGGAAGTGGAAGTATGGGTCTGCGTGGAGCACGCGAGTAAGGGTAAAGATTTTAGAAATAATTGAGGAATTTTATTACAAAAAGCCAAGCAATTCATCCTGGCTAAGATAAAAATTTTGAGGTACATAATTTATAGCATACGGAAAAAAGTTCCAGTTTATTCAGTTAAAATAAGCATTACATGATAAGAAAACCTACTAAATAGTTTAGACTTGTTTGGATAAATTAAATGCAGTTTAGGAATCGAGTCTTGAATATTATAAATAAGGACTTCGAACCATTTTATTTTTAGCCAAGTTAATTCCTTATACGGAACCAAATATTGTATGTTTTTCAGCTTTAATAATAATAATGTGTCAAAAGTTATATAAAAATCATTATTACAGCAATATCATAGTTCTCGTAAAGGTTTGCTGATACAAATTTTAATATACGATTACGGAAAAACTATTTATCCATCATCAATTTTAACGGAAAAATACCAAACACAGAATAACTTTAAAGATACTGTTACGCTAAAAATAATGTGTTTATTTATCATCACTTTTAACGGATAAATAATGAAAAAAAATAAACGGTTACGGTAAAAACATATTTATTCGTCATTAATTTTAACGGATAGAAACAAAACACAATAAAACTAGTCACATTATGAACCAAAAGATTAAAAAATGAGTTTTTGAAATAAATTAAGCTATCCGCGGATACAGGATTTGAATTGTTATGGTTATTTAACAACATTCGTCTAAAGTTACTAAATTGATTAATTATATAGATAGCCTAAAGTATAAATAAAATA